ACCCACAGGTTGAGAACCGCTGCTCTAGTGCATCAGAGAAAGGACCCTCGGTCCAGGCTCCAGCTCACTCGTCACTAAAGCTGCCGATGCCTTAGGCTCAGTGACGGTCCGTGCGCTGTGTTGTCAGGGATGGATGTGCAGCACTGACCCCAACATTACACATCTTCCTCCTTTTTTGTCAGAATTGTATCCAAGGCCAACCTCTCCCAGGTCATCCTGCTGCTGGCCTCTCGCTGTTCACTATCCCTTTAGCTACGTCTTGAGCGTAGTTGACAAGCCTTTGCTGGTTCTAGAAAATATAATTAATCCACCACATTCTTGTTCACAGTGGGGCACCTGCATAGGACAGACTCAAACCCTGCGGCAATCTGATTTCTAGCCTTAAACTCCTTGGCACTCCCCCTGGAACCCTAATGGGATCTGTGTGTATATGGGGATCAAAGGAGCCCTCCAGACTCTCTCTCCTCTTCCTAGTCTGTCCATTGAAAAAGGTTTACAATATGCCAGCGTGAAAGGGATAGCCCATTGTATCAGAGCGCAAGGTCCACTCCATTTGCTGGGCAAGGCCATAAGTCAGGGTTCCCATGACACCACCAGACATCAGCACGGGGTAGCAACAGTGCAGCATGATGGGCTTCTGAGGATACTCAGCCATTTATGCATCTGGATACATTTCTCATAAACTCCAAGCACTGTTGCCCTCCTTGAGAGGCAGGAGGTGAGAAGGCTAATGTAACCCTGATATTTGCGAGGGCTAACAATCTGAATCTGTGCCAGCATTCTAATGTACATTCTTGATAACCTATAATTAAGTCATTGCCCCTTTCTCCACAAGGCATCTAGTTGCAAGACCTGTTACCTAAATGCTCACATTTCACAGAGGCCATAAACCATGACACAGGCACCGGAGGAGGGTTATCAGCGCTGGCGCCAGGCCAGGCCCTTAGATATGATCTCAAGACCCCCATCCTAACCCATGGCGCTTTTTGCAAAGCCCACAAAAGGTCCGGAAGTATAATCCATATTTGGGGGACAAAGATA